GCTAATCTCTCTCTGCTCCGCTGATCTTCACTCTCTAGTGATTCCTGATTATTTCGGCCCACGTGCCCACACAGGCGACTCCGCTCTCAGTGACTGAATTGAGGTCTACCCCAGAGTTTGGCACCATGACCGGCTTTGAGGCTACGGGGAGGGTCACTGGCACATTTGTGGTCGGTCAGCTTGACCCCGTCGCCCCTCGCCGCTGTTGATGATCCCCGATGGGAGATTATTGGAAGGAAGCAGTGTAATTGAGAGGTGAGATTTCTGTCTTTAAGCTGATCAGCTGTGAGCAAGCTGTGCTAATGATGAGGTTTTGAGAGTCAAACTCACTGATTTCTTTTGCAGTTAAATGAAACCAGTGCACGCTCTGACACAAAGGACTATTTTTCATCCAACACAAGAGGAACAGGTCCAAATGTAGACTTAACACAAGAGGCATTCGATCATGTAACTCTGTGTGTGTTACATTACCCATAAACCCCACTAGCCAGCCAGTGGGACCTCTCATCAGATCCCACCGGCCATCGTGGGAACATTCCTGACGCAGCATTATTCCATAATTCCCACCATGTGTGGTTTTTCCAGAGCTGGGGTGCTCACTGCGCGGAGCGTGGAGAATCCCACTGAGGAGAGGAGATCAGCTCCTTGTAATTGCAACCAGACTTTGCCGCCTGGGAGCGGGGATAGAAAACGTAGGGAAACGACGTCGGACCGGTCAGTTCAACAACACCGTCACCACGGGGGTAAAGCTCACAGAGAGAGCAGGGTTGTTTGCATAGCCTCGGTGCAGAGGCTCTCTTGTCATGTGACCGAAAGGCACTTTGTGTGTGTGTGTGTATGTGTGGTGGACGTGGACTACACTGATTCAAATTAAGTACCCACATGGGTGGTTGTGTTAATATTAGTCATGGATGAGTCACTTAAAAGGGAAAAATCCTCTATTCACCAGGAAAGCACTTTCAAAGGCAGCCATGTTGGTATACTGAAATTCATGGATGTGAAATGATTATACGGGACTCATTTGTTCCCAACTTCGATTGACCTAAAACCAAGGCCCTTTCACACTTCAACATTGACAACTTTGAAGTGATTTTTTATTGAGCTACTGAAGAGGTCAGGCAGTCCACTGTGCACCAATGGAAGCTGCTTCTTCTATGAGTTGCACTTAATAGCAATGCACTGATCAATACTAATGCACCTTCCCCAGCGAGGATCGGCTTTTGTAGCAAACCATCAATCAGTCGGCTGATGGTTTACCTCAGTGCCCTTACAAGAACACTCAGGGTCAATGCTAAGGCCTTATCTTGTTCTTAAGCCAGATTAAGATGCTGTTGGGCGTTTCTGATCAATAACTCTCCCTCGGTCCATCCATTGTTATACAGATCATTGGCGAATCCGGCAGTATATCTATTTTGTGCTGTGAATTAGAGGTCACTGCCAGATCTATACCGTGCTGTGATCCACAAAACCCAACTTGGCAATATATCTCTTTTCCAGATGCTATCCTGTCATGCAACACAAGAATGAGTGGAATGCAGCTTTAATCATCAATCTGCAGTCTCTGTTGCATCACTGGCATGTTTCTGCTTTTTGGTGCAGGAATGTTTATGAGATGGCTGTTATCACAGTCTTGAATTGTTTGTTTTCCCTTCCCAGTGTATACACTGGAATTACACCGCATACAACAACATCTTAAAATGTGTATCTGCATCAAAAATGAAAATTTTTTTCCACTATCAGTTCCTTAAGAGCAGCTATGCAAGTAGTCTGAGCAGATTGTATTTAAAGGGAAAATTTCAACCTGGGTGTTATTGTAAAAAATTTGAGGCCGTCAACGGGTCATGCATGAGCCTCCTAAAGCTTTCCAAATACACATCTGACATAAACCATTTTCTAAATCAATGCTTGTCTCGGAGTCCACAGAAAGCTAGCCTAACTTTTGTAGTCTCTGTAACAGAGGCAGAGAGTCCAAATGACCTATAGCCTATGAGAAGAATAAGACCCAGATTGAAAGATAGCGAGATTTTCCCTTAATGTATCGGTGTGCCACAACCTGGAAATAATCCACTTTTTACAACTAGGGCCATACATTTGTTGTTTTGGCTGTCATTCCTTTTATTTCTGTTAATTATATTGCTGTAGATTGACATTTGGCCGACACCCAATCCATTTATTATCTGTATTAGCGATAATACCAATCTAGTAGATCAGATTTGGCATCACTATGTGTAAGCTGGAAAATCAGAACGCTTCACAGTTTATTTTGTAATCTTATGTGTTATGAAATATGAAGTTCTACAATAGATGTTTCTGGTAGGATTATCATATTCCTTAACATTTTTTTTTCTGAGGGCGTTTATTGGAAGTATATAAATAATAAACATAGCTGAATATCAGTTGAAGGAGAATGTAGTATGAGGCTTATATATTTACTTTGCATGGAGCTGAGACAAGAGCCTCGAGGGCCTAACATACACTGATCTGCCCAGTTGTGTCATCCTGAGCTACAAAGACGCTATGTTGGGGCGTGTGTGTCATTTATGCCCTTCTTTAATGTCAGTTCGAGACCAGTCTGTCATGTGGTCTCGTAAAGAAACCATATTACAGTATGTGTCTCATTAATCTAGCACGCTAAATTCTCATCACAGGAAATACTTGTCACAGTATGATTAGTAGAAGTCACATATCGGGGATTTGACAGACGTACAGTACATGCACTCAGTGTACAAATATACCGTGCCCTTAGCTCTGCCCGATGCCTGCTTACTCATTTGCTGTGCTTCCCCTGCAACAATCCTGTCTTTCTTTTCCTGCTGTGACATCATCACCGCCCCTGCACACTCGGTGCCCTGCCCTCCTTCCCACTTCCTGCCCCGACAGGAAATGAGCTGCCCCGAAGGATTACTGTTAATGTAGGGGAAGTGTGGGTGGACAAGGACACACCTGTGTCCACTACATTGGACTCTGTGTTTCCCCCATGGTCTGTTGTTGAAGTGGGGCACCAATCTAGGCCACATAAAAAGTCTGTTGAAACTGTTTGTAAGGGCGGTGATACACAGGGCACCTTTGTGGGCAGTTGTGTGTTTTCATAGTGCCCAAGTCACCTCATTCAGTCATAGGAAAAGATATTGTTTCCAGGACATGCTGCTCTAAGTAGCTCCATAAACAGATCTGCTGTGTGTGTACCTGAGAGTTTATACTTCTCATACTCGTGGAAGTTGTGTGCCACCACTGTAATATTGCTGCAGACTCACAAATATGCCAACTATGACAACATTTTGACTGTGCATACTTTTTCCATTTCTATTACAGAGTTTAGAGAGGAAAGTGAGGAGGAGAATGTCTGTCTGGAATTGACCCTTCCTAAGTCCCGTCCCTTTTTGCTCTCTGCTCCAATAACAGTTGAGCAAGCCTCAGTCCAACTCTCTCCTGTACTTAGATATATGCTACGTGCTAGGCTAATCAAGGTTGAAAAGGCAATCGAAATTTGAAGATGGTTAAAGGATAATTGACTTACAATCTCATCTCAAGTTAGAAAAATGTTAGCTAGTGTTTTGCTACCATTAGCTAACTTAAGATGAGGCTGTACATGTGTTTCTTTTATCTTGTTGCTGCTGTTTAATCATAAGTTGGTCATGTTTGTCTATGCATGTGCCGCAGGCCCTGCCTTTGTTTTTAGCATTGGAGCAGCTGCCCGCCAGCCCTGGCGCTGTTGTGACTGGAGCAACTGTGTTCACTGCAGCTGCACAGATCCATGTGTCACTGCCACACCTGTTCAATGGCCTTGTGTTGACGGAGTGATATCACACGTTAACTGTGTGCAAATTAGGCCAGAGAGATGGGGGAGGAGTGGAGGAACCTGTAATCGGAGCAGGCAATTGTGTGTTTTTGACACGCACATATATGGATCCCATACAAAGTCAGACTCTTCCTGACAGAGTCTCCATGTTACAAGAAGACTGTTTCCTGTGAAAACAGACACACACAGGAGAGGGGCCACATGCTGTGGCTGAACAACAGTTGGTGTGTAGAAAAACGAAGCAACAGCTGAGGCCAGCGGGAATAGCTTCCTAGTAGTTAGCCACAATATCAGCGGCCCACCCCTCTCTCTCTCTCTCTCTCTCACTCATACACACACACACACACACACACACACACACACACACACACACAGTCAGTACACACACAGTCAGTACACACTGTGACCAAATCATGGCATTGATATTTCCTAGCCAGCTCAGCATGTCGTAACCTACACCTAGCCGGATGCCGTAATTAAATTTTATATTACCTGACTATGATTCAGCATCCAGATTGTTTTAGATAAAACAAGGTTCGGCTGGCATGAGTCAGCACTGTTGTGGATGAGTTGATGATTCGTTCGCTGAAACGTTTAATGCTGGTCAGCATTGTTGAGACCTGGTGAGTCACAGTGAAGAGTTTTGACAAGGTTTGAGTTTCTACTCTGACTCATGTTGTGAAATTATTAGCCTGTGCTGGTTACCATGCTTATTAAGTTAGCTGCATGTGTGCGTGTCAGTGTTTGCATGTGTGGGTCTGAAAGCCTTTGTAGTCAAATGAAGAAGGCCTCTGCAGCTCAAATGTCACATTCTTAATCTGGCTGTAATGATGAAGAGAGTTTATAATGAAGGGAGAAACTGCGCTTGATTGCTTTCAGAGCTTTGCGATAAGTGTCTCTCTGGCTGTACGTGTCATTTTTGCCTGCGCTTAGTTAAGTCTCTCGCTCAAGCACCCTCCATAGTTAATCCTCTGCATTCTTGCGACAGTGAAATCAGTCTTCTCCCCTTCCCTGCAGGCTGCCAAGTCTCCGAGTTCTCCTGCAGTGCAGTGAAAACGAGCGCGTGCGATCCATAAGTTTGGTATTTCACTGACTAATGGCCTTGGATGATGTGACCAAAATGGGGATTGTGTTCTGCTACTATAGCCACAAATATAGACACTGAATCATTTTATTCTCCCTTTTTTTTTTTCATTTGCAGGGGATAAAAGCCGGTCACAGAGTGGAGTGGTGGTTTCATCTGACCTTTAACCTCAGTAGGAAGAAGGGAAAGCCACTTCAGAGGTAAGAGTTCCTGTAAGAGTGAGTTAATGGTGACATTGCTACTTTCTGTGGGTGATGAATTATGAGCAGAGGAAAAAGTAAAACCAGTGTTGACATTGCTGCCAGTAAGATTAGCAAAACTCTGGCTTCCTTGAACAAATGTCACAAAGATTATTATTAACTACAGCAGCAAGCTGCCAGAGAAGTTCTATTTAGGGTGGTCTCAAATGCCGGTTTTATTGCAGCGCCTCTGACATGCATGTCTGGGGCATCATGTGCTTAAACCAGCTATCATCTGTCACGTCACTGTACATTTTTCAGAAAGTGGAATCCCCAGTTGACAGTGTGGATCCATGTGTTTGGTATTTGTAGTAAAAAGATGGCTCCGGCCCCCACAGTCTCCGTCAGTAGGCCTTGTAAATCAAAGCCAAATGAAAGGGGAGTCAAGCCTCCGAGGATCTCGTCAGGGGAGAGTCTTCCTCTGCGAAGGAGATAATTCCTGACTAAAGTAGAACCATGTGAGGGCAAACTGTGGCTGCGGTCTGTAGCAAAGAGCCGCTCCTTACAGTGAGCCTTTATTCTTCTCACCATCACAGATCTGTGTTGAATTTGCAGTCAAGAGTCCCACTGTTTCCACTGTTTGTGTGAGAGATGAAGTAATTGCATAATGCACTTCTTTTCAGATCGATTACTCGCACGGCAAAGAAATCTATTTTTAGAGCGCCGTCTTGGATGAGGCTTGAGATTTATAGAAAATGCAGACATGATCACCTATCACAACCAGATTTTTTCCCCCCATTGACGGTTAGTCCTTTGTCAACAAACGCACTTGGTGTCAGATTTGATACTGAGAATTTTATTCTCACAAATGAGAAAAATGAAAAAAGGGTGCATAATAATGGCCATAGGGAGTTACATAACTGTCCCGGGGGGAGAACAACAGAGAACACAAGATGCAGAAGGTAAAATTGCAGCCTTATAAACAGAAACAAAACTCAAACAACACAACAAATAAAATGGCTTACTGGCTGCTGTTTTCCGTGATATTTCGTTCGTGATTGTTTAGGAAAACTAGGTAATTCAAATGTTCTGGAGGCGGTCTGGTTGCAGTGGTGGAGAACCAATCAGGACCAGAGGATGTTGCCTGGGTGGGTTGTTTTGTTGATTTTGTTATTGGTATGGTAGTTTTGTTTGTCTACTTAGATGTATGTGTGTATTCTATTGAGAAAGCAAGGAGTAATAGATTAATCACTCCACTTGTACCCTTTCATAATTTATATCTAGACATGCCTTTTCCATTTGTGATGGGGAATATATGCAGTGTTCTAATTCATGTTGGCTTCCCAGTTGGAAAATGAACGTCTGGACAAAGTATAAACTGAAAAATGTCTAGAAAATACTAATGGCGGTGGGAAATGTAAATGGACAAAGGCCCAGACGCTGTATTATTTTCATCTTGGAAAACAAACCCATGATGTGTAAAAAAGCCCGGCAGTGAGGACATGGAAAGAAGCCAAGATTTAAACTGGGACCCCAGCGGTGATGGAAGCCTGAGGCTGAGAGGAGGAAGTCTGCACCCCTTGACTTTAACTGTTCCAGGAAGTAGGGATGTTTCTGCGTCAGAGAGGTTTATAAAGGTTCCTAACTGTGTGTTTGCGGCCGACTGTGTGTGTGTGTGTGTTAGTGTGCGTTGGTGTGTCAGTGTGTGTCAGTGTCGTGTGTTTTCAAGGAGGCGGGCTGACACGTGGAGATGCTTACTAACTTTGACACTCAGCCGTCAATATTATTCAATATGTACATCACACATGCAGGGCTGCGGTTAACATGTCATTGTTCTGTGATTTGGTCGTCATGGCAACTGGCAAATTCATGCATTGGGCATCCTTTAAAACAGACTGTCCTTGTCCTTGAAGACATACAGGTTGCAACCACAAAGACCTTTTGGGGTAATTAAAGGAAAAATATTAACGCGCGTTCCAAAATTGAAAGGATTGCATATTGGCACAGCAGGAATGGCGGAGGTGGTGTGGCAGGAAACAGGCTGGCACATTTTTTCTGTCTGTTTTGATGAGGCACACAAACACACTTTCAGCAGCAGCCAATCGGTGGCCAGCTGCAGGGGTCATGAAGTGAAGGGGAGACGGAAAACGTAGTAAGTTAACAGAGGAAGACATACCCAGCTGCTAGCGGCATGTGTGCAGCCGTGTGTGTGTTTTCTCTTTGCCTTTTGGTGCAGCACGTTGCACACGGTTGGCTTGTGGCAGTAAGAATGCGTTGTTCACACATGAGTTATCCACCCGTGTGTGTGTGTCTGGTCATGTGTTGCCTGTGCAGTATGTTATACCTACTGTGCTTTGTATTCCCTGACAGGTGGCAGATGTAAACCTCCTGTTCCGCTAGACCAGGCAACTAAAGGATGATGAAACATTTGATCTGTCGGCACCATGATGATTTCATTCATCTAGACTAGATGATAGCAGAGGATGAGACTGCTATGGAAATGTGCTAAGACAAGCCTGTGGCATCCCTAAATGTTCACTCAAGAGTGAACAGTATTTTTAAGGGATGAACATGTGCAGGGTATCTGCAGGTCTTGAAAAGTCCTATTTGGTTTCCTCAGAAAAAGGTCTTAAAAAGATGGTATTAAAAGGCTTGAATTGAATTTACACAAGTCTGGATTGTGCTGCAGGTCCTTTTTTGTCTCATAGCAGCGTTGTTGATTTGAGCAAAAACTTTCATACGTGCATGTATCCATTTTCTGCTGCTTATTCAGGTCTAGGTCAATTGAATTAATTACATCATTAGGAATTATTGCTATACACTGCTGGGGAGTCCTGAAAAGGGATGATGTCATAACAGATAATTCTAGTCATATCATCCCTACTGGTTTTCCATCGTGCTTTCTTACTATGGCTGGTATGATTATGAAACGAGTATTAAACTGCGTTCTGTGTGGTATTAAAAAGGTCTTATAAAAGTCTCATATTTAACAAGGGTTCCTGCAGAGGTCAACTCTGCAGGAACCCTTGTGATATAAAGCCTTCTGATATAAAGCGACACTCATATCGAAGAATTCACAATCCAGTGTCCTAGATACAACCGCAACCCATTTATGTAAATATGTTACAGCGGGTTCTCAATGTTGGAGGGCTACACATTAATACCTGACCAGGCACAAAATAAGGGTGTGCATTACTAAGCAACAAACTTCAGTTCCATAAAAAACAAAAGCCTCGGTTGAGGATTTACTTCACAGCATTGCAGCTCCTTTTACGTGATGTTTTATCCCAGCAGTGGGCCTCTCATCTTTTTTAAGCAGTGCCTGTTTTTAATGTCTGGCTAGTTCTTCTCAGCAGTCAGCCTCTGTTGTCTGCTGCTGCAGTGCTGCATCATGTTTAAAAGTGTGTGTGTGTGTGTGTGTGTCTGTGTTTCTGTGTCTGTGTTTCTTTTTTTTTTTTTTTTTTTTTTTTTTTTTTTTTTTTTTGTGTGTGTGTGTGTGTGTGTGTGTGTGTGTGTGTGTGTGTGTGTGTGTGTGTGTGTGTGGCCACTGCAGCAGACCACCTGAGCCCCTGACTGTATATATATGTGTGTGTGGATGTAACCCGAGCTCCTGAGGGCAGGGACAAGACTATTGATTTCACATTTTGGACTGCTGCCCTGCAGCAAAGCAGGGAAGCTGACACATCCTCTGTGTTTATGTGCGAGGGAGAGAGAGCGATGGAGAGAGAGAGGGTGACAGACAGAAACAGAGAGAGGGAGAGAGAGAAGTGAGACAAGAACAGACAGATCACTTGTCTGCTGCTTGAGTTGTAGCCTGCTTTTACATTGAAGTCAGCCATTTTGCCCAGCACACACAACCTCTGATTATTTGTCCATTCTTACCATGACATGAAGTATTAGGGAAAGGATGAAGATCCAGGCAAACTGAACTGTCCGGGGTTGTATGAACAAGCAGATGGACACCCTGCAGGCAGGGACGTGGAAACGTCACATCAATATGCTAGGTATTACTGAGGATGTAGGCCAAGCTCAAACTAAAGTCTTGTGATAGCCGCGTGTCAGTCCGCGGAGCACGTCAAATGTGGAGAGATGTACATGCGTGTTGCCATGGCAATGGCTGTTGGAACAGATGCGGGGCAGCTGAAGTTTGGCTCACTCTGATACTGGTGAGCTGTTGAGTCCTCACACTTACCACCCACCAGTGTGACCATGCATTTTCATACTCCCTCTCTTCCCTCGGCTCAGTTTTCCGCTGCTCTTCCTCTCTCCGTTTCCCCCCTCTCCATCTGTCCGCCTCTGACATCCTCCTCATCTTTCTCCTCTCTCTCGCTCTTTCTGTCCCCCATCCTGCTCTCTGCCCCTCCTTCCTAATTGGCTGTATAAGCCGGAGTGCTTCACTGTGTCACGCTGCGCTTGAGTGAGCTCGTATGTGTTTGTGGATCCATATGCGCGAGTTCCTCCTCTGCTTGCAGGCTGTTGGACATGCTTGACTAATGACACTGCTGTTGTTTTGGCCATCAGGCCCTCCCCTTTATTCACAACCTAATAGCCGGCTCCCTCCCTCTGTTATTGTACCTCTCCTTCCCTCCCCTCTCCTTCCTTGCTGGCCTGTTACCCATCTCATCTCTCCCCCATCAGCCTTTCCCCTTAATGCTCTCTCTTCTTTTATGACATGTGTCAACTTTTGTTTATGTTTTGAATTATGTAGGACAGAACTGTCTCAGCAATAGTGCACATTTACAGTAAATCTGCCTTGTTTTGGGAATAGGGGCTGGGCAATATTGTCTTTAAATAATATTGTACTGAAGGGTAAATTTGATTCTAATATTCTTGCCAATATGATTCATTACTGGAAAATAGTTGTTTTGATTGCAGCGCCATAAAACTTAATCCATGATTGAAAGATAGAAGATAGTGTAGCTGTTATCTCTGCATTTTTGTACCTGTCTGGGAGTGCTGAGCTGGCAGCACTGCTACTTTCATTTTGAGGCCCTGCTTCTCGCTACTGTGGGTTATAATGA